ATAACCATCAAGACGCCTGCCATTTGATATAAATAAATTTGATAATGTTGATTTGTTACTTGCCCTTAGTGTAATTTTGCGATCTGATTTAAGGTATCTAACAGGGAATGGATTCGATAAGAGCCTTAACCCATTAACGTCCGAATTATTTTTTTTTTGCAAAAATGTACCCAACCGCAATCACGCGTCCCTCTGGAAACTGACACCGACGTGGTGAGTTTTGGTGACATAAGGCATAGGCTAAAACGCATTGAACTTGTTTCAGACGGCAATAGCGCCTTCTGTTGCAAGCCTATTACCAATGGAGCCTATTTTGAAAAAAGGACCGTACGGTCCTAAGGGGGTTTAAGAGTTGATTATTGTTGGGGATTATAATATGTCAGAAGAATGGCAATTTTAACATGCACTCAAAACTACTCTAATAGACCTCGCACATCGTTATCACTAGATAATTAAATCAAAGTTAATCAGTGGAATGTCGTGTTTAGGGGAATAGAGGACTATTATTACCATGTATTGCATTGGAACGAACTCCGATCATTATTTAATTCATTATTAATTGTGTGGGGTGTGCGATAGACTTACCTCCACGTGGTGCACCCTGGGCAATGTATACTCATACGGCAAAAATGTCTATAAACCGGCAGTTGACTTCTGACCTCAAACTACCATCACCCCACTGTATGTCATATTCGATATCTTTCACAGTACTCACCTAACCTTTTTCCTACCTTTACTAACTCGCCTTTGAAACTCTTCTGTTACTCCCCCTCTCGACTTTTTTTCACTTTGATATTCCTTCCCCTCTCTGAAGCCTGAAGTCAACTAAAGGGCTAATGATAGCCATCAAAACGCCTGCCATTTGATATAAATAAATTATTAATTGTGCTGAAATTAACAAATTTACCCAATTATCGTGACTGATTTCATTTTTATGCTTAATATTGATAATACTCAGCTTTTGCAAACAATCAATATATACATATGTTAGGTGGAATAATTAACAACTACATTGATTATGACCTTAAATCACCCTAATAACCTCCAAAAACATTAACGAAGATATGTAAAGTAGAATCTGGTTAAATTAGCAAAACGTTAACACAAAGATTAATTGCAAATTTACCGATTGTCTTGACCAACACAGTTATCTGTAACAGGACAGTGATGATCCATCACTCGAACACATCGATTGCACAAACTGCAATGTTTCGCCCTAATGGGCTTAACACAGCCACATGTATGACACAAACCATTTAGACGGCGGTTGAGTATACGAATTGAACGTCTCAGGGCTTTCACTTCCAACGGCAGTGTTTCCTTCTGAGACTCACTAGTTATGGGGCCAACAGGAAGTAAGGGAGTACGATTCTGAAGCCTTCGACATTCAGCAAACAACTATACGGTGCACTTCAGTTTTATTTATGCGACCAATCGAGATAACTACCAGATATTGAATCCATGCTTACCTCACGCATCTCTTCCTCATATTCAACTGTGTTAGTTGGAAGATAGCCAGAATTCTTGCGAACTTCAACGAAGAAACTGACCCAAAGAAATATGTTTAAGCAGATAAAAATTATCGTCTCATTGTAGGTTAAAGCCACCGAACTTGAAGATATCTGGAAAATAAGCATGTGAGGAGGTACAGCCAAATAAATGATTCCTAAGGACTAATTATGAGATAATAAACATGAAATTCTTTATGGTAATATATATTGGCGAACAAAGAGAAACGGTTCCTCGTTCCACAATAAAATTAAATGCCAAATTTAAAGGCATTATATCCGAAATCAACAATCAACCATTTAATTGACTAATTGTAGTAAGTAATGTTTAAAAAATATTGTCAGAAAATCATAAACTCTTTCGTCAACCAAATATATAACCAAACTTAGCAACTAGGATACATTTTTTTAATAACTAATGTAGAGCTCACAAATCTGTGGAAGTAGTGATTGAAATGGGAGACGAATATTGTTTCAAAAAAGTCAGGTTATTTAAGACGGATATCTTATAAAATTGAAGTTATCATAAATTATAAAGTGACCGGACTAAATAACTGCCAAAAGATGGAGAAACTAACCCGAAAGAATAGATATGGATAAATCCACCCAAATGATATGGCAAACATCCAGAAAAACATCGCTCTTCGTCGCCCAGGATAACCGCAAATTGGATACCTTTATGACAAATAAATGTTACTACTTTGTAAAAGCAGTAGTAAATACCTAACAAAATTTATGAAGATAAGGTTTTATGTGGTTTCTATAAGAATAAATACTTTACAAATGATGCACGTGCATCAATACTATTACATTTGTGGTAAAAATTAAGTAAGTTATTAGTATATAGATAAAAGCTTACGACATTAAGGAAAACAGATTCGGCTTATTTGAACAAGTACGGTCTTTCCCCCCTTTGTATAGCTCATACTGAATCATTGATGCCAGCTCAAAGTGACCAAGGCTTCCAGCAACATGCTCGGGCGTTCGACCATCTTTATTAAGCAATGTAACTTCAAATTCCCTTTTCATTAAAACTGTGGCCAAACTGCCGAAATCGGATATTTTAAAACAAATAAAGGATGGATTCAGCGCTGTTCTTAAAATGGTTGAAGCCGAGACCATATTGCAGTTTTCACACGCGATGTGCAAAGGAGAATTTTTCTTTGAATTCTGATATTCAACTGCACTTGGATAAAAGCGAAGTAACAGACTGCACATGTTTGGACCACCTATGGCGGTAAAACTTTTAGCATATTTACAGTTACAAAAAACTGAGATTCGATTGTTTTATTTCACTAACCACACTGCGCAGCATAATGAAGTGGCAAGCACGCATCAGAATCAGGAATATCCAACTTCGCCCCACATAGTATCAGCATTGTGACCAATGGAACATTGCCCGATTTGCAAGCTATTGAATAATTAGATGTTTTAAAACTTATATATGGGCGAATCTTTCTTTTGAATTAATAATGGGACTGACCAAGGTGGACTGGCGTCAAATTGATTTTGCTCTTCTCATTTATATCTTTGCATCTATGCAATAATGATGCGGCAGCCTCAAAGCTACCTGACTGACAAGCGGAGAAAAATGGTGTCTGCCCAACGGCGTTGGACAAGTTTAAATCCAAAGCGTCAAGATAAACAACAACCTTAAATGCATTACCGAGTGCAGCATGATGCAACAACGTATCCTGAAATGCATCAGTTATATTTAATAAATCAGGACTCTTTTCTAAGATTTTCTTCAGCTTTTTAAGTTTTCTGAAAATAATAAATTTTCATGAACTAACCCCAATCGTGCATCTCTAAATATGGGATTCACATATAAGCTACTTTGTTTTTCATGTCCATTTAAAAACTTATTTTTCTCCAGAGATAGGTACATGATCGGTTTCTGCGGAGTTCAATGAAGGTCACTCAATGTCTAAAACTAAAATAATTCACTGTGTCAGAATTTTAATTCTTAAATCTCAAATAAATTAGTGGAAAAAATATTAATATTTTTATTTTGGTTACCTGCAAAGAAAACCTACAATGTATTAAACTTCCTACTGTTCGCTTATTATATGCTTGGATACGTTGAACCTATTTGAATAGATTTTCACTTATACTTTAAGGTTAACTAGCGGCCTTCATAGGCTTAGGTACTTTAATCCCAAGAGAACTAAACTCGAAATTCGAGTAACTTATTCTGCCTGGATTACTCCGGTATTTTTATTTATTTGACATTCATCCAAGCGAACCACCTATCCCACATTATACACAATGCCTACCACCGCAATTTACCATTGACCATGTTTCGCGCATCATTTAAAAATATATAAACACCAATATGAAGTACTCGAACGCATTTTCAACTGTAATTACTCATCTTTGCTATAGCAAAACCTAAAATGCATTAAACACAAACCTTTACTTAACACACCTAAAATCCACAATGGATATTTAAAATAATTGACATCCACATACATTCTAATTATTGCCAATTACATAGTGAATAAATTAAGAATTTGTGAATTCCTTTTTCCTCCTCCTCCTATGATGACGCCGCACCATACATCTTCTGCAAACGCTGTACATCCACTGCTTCAATCTTCTTAAACAGGGGCTTAGGCTAAAAGGGAGCAGAAAAATACATTATGCTCAAATATTCAGTACAAAGAAAGGCAAGATAAAAAGAAATTATTTCTAGCGCAATTCTTTGATATGAGAATAAAAACATCGAGCCTCAGGGTGAGAAACACTTACTATACAACCCTTCTTTAAACAACATTAATAAATACCTCTGACTTTACAAATACACACGGTAGCAGCTAATTTACCAAATCAAAAGTGAAAGGGACTTACTACACCAATTACATGACCCTCAGGTAAGAGGCAGGGCAAGTAGCCGCCGTTAGCGATGATTGGTGCAAGGGTTTGACGTTCCGGGAGTAGTTGACATTGAGAGAAGATTTCATCGGAAAATGCTGGCATGAAGGGACGCAAGAGGATACCTAAGAGAGCTGCTATGTTGCAACTCACACCACTTACTACACCTGCTCGTTCACTAAATTAGGAAAAACAAGGGCTATGGATTAGTCTAATAAGTACTGGATATACCGGCAAGCGAAAAACAAATTTGTTAGTTTAGGTCTTGAGTTTAATTACAACGTGTAAGTTTTACAATAAAAGTCCGGATGTTTACATAAACATGATGGAAATCAAGATAGAAACACTATTCCCAATAGTGCTCCGCTTCATCGTAAGTGTGATCACATAGGACTATAAATTTCTTTTTAACTGTAGTTTGTCAAATCAGTAAGATGCACAAAAAGCATACATTCACGTGCTGAGCAAATTTACTCGTTGCAATTTTATCCAACCCACCCACATCAAATCAATTTTAACCATATACAGAGGTCAAAGTGCGGAAATTCAATGGTTGATTGAGCATTCTTATCGCTTACATATCTGCACCGTTTCAATTAGTATTTCCTTCATTATTCACCTATATGAGACTCTATTTGGGCAGTAATAAATCCAAATGGTGACTACATCCTCTTCTCTTTGAAGGGGTAGGTACTTTAATAAAGACAGTAACATTAATTGTATCGCCATTTTGGTGTATATCTTGTTGCGCTTCATTCGATAAGAGCTTAGTTGGGATAAAAATATAACACATCCAAGTTTGAGGAGCATGACATGAATGTGACAAACTTGTTCGCTCCCTGAACAAGGGATAGAAGGCATTGCAGAAACATTAGCGAAATTGCATTGTAATTGCAAAGAATAGATTGACAAACTAAGTAAAATGAACCAATAAGTAAATTGGCATGAAGTGCAGGAGTCAAGCAAGACCTTTCAGCCAGTTGGCAAAAAAAAACTGAAGTCTTTATTACTAGGACTGGAAAATCGATATGACCGCTAAATTTATGCCAAGTGATAAGAAAGATTCGAAAGCAAATCATCATCTGCCCCAGTATTCAAACCTTATTCAGATTTAGCTACTTAAGCATTCCCTCACTTGATCATTATGGTAGCAATAAGAATAATAAAAATTAAAATAATAAACGTAAAAGACTGACATAGTGTCAGGAGACTTGTAAAGAACCCAAGGTTTTTGTGCTTGCACGTAGCCGTTGCCAAGTCGAGAGATGCTCAAGACTGAACGAACTCCTTCCCTGAGGCGACAGTTTTCCATGTGATCAATATACTCAGCCAAAATGTTGTTCACTCGAGCCAAGAAGGTCACATCATCCGGTTGCAGGAGCTTCAAGGCCGGCACCTTGGACTTGAAGAACTTGGCCACAAACATTAGAGGTCTGAAGATAGAAAATAATTGTCGTTTATGTTCACATTGACAATAGTGGGACCTGTTGTAGAAGTAATTCATTTTTTGCATTTAAGACAAGTAGACTGTATCTATTCCTACATTACCGCCTGATTCTACCAGTCTTAGAACAGTTTCTTTATATTTGCGCCTATTTGTTGCAGCATCAACTCCAAATCTGAGAATAGCTGCAACTAGATGAAGTTCAGAGTTTGCATCGGTTTCACTGGAGAGTCCTAAATCGAGAAATGTAGAGATACATTTTCATGAAGGGGTCTAGAAGAAGCAATCAGCAATATAGAATAGATTTTTCTCATATGAGCTAAATGGCCGTTGTTCATTTTCGGTTTTGGCTTTTTATTTCTCAGTACCACATCAATCCAGAAGAACGAAAGTTGGATCGAATCGGTAAGCCATTCAGTTCAAGACAAATAAAGAATAAACATTAAATTAATACATCACACATATGTATCGCCTTGAACCGTAAATATAAAATTTAAGTTTATTATTATTATTACTTTTTGGTGTACAAAAGGATGAAATGAGTTGGAAAGAAAAACCATTCAATTAAATCAACTAGTCAATAAGTCTTGAATATAGCGGACCCAAGTACTCACAGAAATCCGCAGAGTTTTGACAGGATTGGATATAAAATAATGAAATATAACCCCTATGGGAAGCACAGACGTTTCCAGAATTTGAATAAACTAAGAAAATTTGTGGCCGGACTTCACACCCCCCCCCCCTTCCATTGCATCCCTCAGACAATTGTGCTGTTAAAACTAATTACGGCCTACCTGTTAATGAAATTTCCCAAATTGTTAAGCAGTTCAGTGTTGTTCTTCAGTGCAAAATCTTCCCACGAGAAAGTGCTGTCCTACAAGGTAGGAAAAGAGTGATCGACCAGATATTTTAATCAAAAAAAAAAGAAAGAATGATTATGTGAAGACGGGAAAGCCTTACCTGAGTTTCGGGGCGGATATAGCAGAGGTAGAAACGCCAGATATTTGATTCAATACCACTATCCTGGGCATTATTACCAAAAACTCCAACACCTTTGCTCTTTGAGAACTTCTTTCCTTCATAATTCAAGTAATCTAAATTCAGAAGAGGATTGAACACAATAGGCTTAATGAGCGAAAAATAGAAGACAGGAGGCGAACACACACACCGGTAGCAATGATGTGTTTCACCAGAGTATACTTCTTGCTGCTACCCAGAAGACTAGCAGGGAAAATGCAGGCGTGGAAGGGCACATTGTCCTTAGCCATGAATTGGTAGTATTCAACTGGAGCCAAGTCTTCAGAAGGCTGCCACCATTGACGCCAATCCTTGGTGTAGTTGGCGGTGATTGACATGTAGCCAAACGGAGCGTCGAACCAAACATAGAAGACCTATTCGAAATGTTGCAAAAAAGAGCTATACAACTACTTGGTGGAATTGAGACAAGACTGTTAAGTTCTTCAACATTTTATTCTTAATTCACCAAGCGGTACGATTATAGATTACTCAGCAAATTTCTCAGTCATTTGGCTAATGTCCCATGAGCTGTCTACCTACAGGACATCTCTGCGAGCGATCAAATTAGTTTAAAATCGACTTCTTATATCCTACCTTGCGTTTATATTTTTGCGTTAAAGGTACAAATAATTACCATCTTATATAAAACTAAAAAAGAAAATTTTCTGCTTTGTTTAACAAATACATAAGTCAAATGAGTTCAATCATCGATAGTATCTGAAATTTGACATTCTCCTCGTCGATTAAGTGTATTGGAGAACCTATAAAACTTAATTTTGGCGATTTCTGGTATTCTATTTCATTCCATTTTCTACGATGAACACTGTCTAGGATAACATATATTCAGAAACGTACCTTATTTTTGAAGTTGGTAAGAGGAACCGGGACACCCCATTTGAGATCGCGGGTGATACAGCGTTTTTTGAAACCGTCACGTAGCCAAGTTCGACCGATCGATTGAGCAACTTGAGTCCATTTACAATCTTTAGCTTCTGTGCGCTCCTTGAAGAAAGCTCCCACCTTCTCCTCAAGCTAGATGGCAACAGATTGAGCAAAATTAAGTAAAGAGGAGGGCTGAAACGGTCCTGACCTGCATACCATATTTGTTCACAAGGTTGGCCAACTCAGCGATTACTTTTCGTCCTCTTTCCATTGATCTTCAACTCTCCTTTGAATAGAGGACTTGCTACTCAACCTTACCGTTTCTCTCCCCCTCTCGTTCAATTAAAAATCTACTATTGAGCTAATTTGACTCAATTAGAAGACCCAACTCGAATTTTAGTGTCCATTGAAGATGAGCTATATGGCCACTGTAAGCTTTCGGTTAGAGATTAAATACTTTTGAAAATATATGAAACAACGGATTGAAGTAATCAAAAGCCATAGCATATTTGAATTTTAATAAAAATATATAGAAATAGAACATTAAAAAGAATGAATGAAGGTATCTATTCTTTCCAGTCTCGATAATAGCTTTAATATATTATTTCAAAACCTGCATCGACGACAAACACAAAAGCCCAAAGCAGCACTTTTGTGAAGCTTCTTTAAGTTAAGCCAGTCAATCGGCTAACATAACTTCTTGAAAGCACTTCAAGTGGACTTATCAAAGCACTTAGATAACTATCTTGATTCAAAATGAAATAAAAAAATCACATCTGTAAATCCGCAGAACAAGTATGTACGCAATAACGTCGTTTTGTGCAAAGCTCATTTTTTTGGAAAACGCTATGGATTATTCCGAAGAAATGAAGCAGGTTAATTTAATCTCTAATTAGAAGGGAATTTAGAATCCAAATTTTTCAAGATTCAATGGTAATATTATACTAATTCAGTTTACTAAGCTGATAGAGCTTAGGTATGAAACCGTACAGATAAGTACTCCATGAAAATTCATTTTACTATCATCTAGATTTTATTCATTTTCAAGTCTGCAAATTTAGCTTATCAACTATCACTAAGCTACTAATCGATACTGAAATACACTTCAATTGTTAAAACATGTTAAAATTATGATAAACAGGAAGCAACAATAACCAAAAGAAAAGAATGATTCAAGCGATACGTAAAAAAGGCTAGATAGAATAAGGACATTGTCAATATAGGTTTTGATTCAAGAAACCAGCAATGATGAAGTTATGCAGACGCTCAAAAAGCAAGCAGAGCATAGAGATACAGCTAACGCAACTGAGACGAACTTACTCATTAAGGGGTGTGGGATTGAAGTTGTGTCGCACAACACACCTACTTACTTGAGAAGTATTGGTAGTTCATTTAAGTAATGGGGTCAGCTACCATACTACTAAAACTAGAAACTACTTCCAAACTCATTTAGGAAATCTTTTCTCAACACTCATTGTGAATATTATGCAGTTCCTTGGGTGAGACCCCTTTTATCAGCCAATCTTTACTAGTGTGATTGCCCATTCCGCTCATTGAACGCGCATAATTAAACACTGAACTCGTGACCTTTAAAAAATAATTCTAGACTAGCCAAAGAACACACCTGAGGGAGATTGAGGAAGAGATGATCGGAGGAACGAATGACGGGCGACTTAAGGCATGTGATACATCGGGGTTTTATCAACTCAACAGCGTTGATGAGTTTACCACAAGAATCGCATTGATCGCCTCTAGCATCGTCGGACTTGCAGTAGGGGCAGTTTCCTTCTACGAAGCGATCAGCAAGAAATTTCTCGCAATGTCCGCAGTACAACTGCTCTATAGAGGCTTCGGAAATGTAGCCATTGTCGTAGAGCTGCTTAAAGATCTCTTGGGTAATCCTGCGATTAACAAAAAGAGAAAAACGTGATATTTAGATAGAGTAGGAGTGTTATGGTTGATAATAGCGTAGAGACGTAATCTTAAAGTCAATGGCGTTTCAAAAAATACAATACTATGAATATTGAAAAAGTAGCTTTTAAAAGCGAAAGATTGTACCTAACCCAATACGATACTTAGTATATTCGAGATAGGAATGGTTCCACAACTATGCTAAAATTCGTAAAAACTAGAAAAGTGAAAGTTCGTTCCCTTCTTGGCGTTCAGACGCTTCATCCCTCAAACTATAATTAAAAGGAAATTTCCTTTATAGATTGAATTTAAATTGTGAAAAATGAAGAAAAACTTTAACAAAATTTACCTCACTCCAGAGAACAGCAGACTATACCTGTTTAGTGAGATCTTGAAAAAAGGCAAATTAAAGTGCTCCATTAATTAAATTCAACTGTGAAAAGTCGATTTCTTAAGACATTGAGCTCTACCAACTTAGCAGACAATGTTCACAAATTCAATAATAAGTTGGAATATCTGATTAATGCAAACAGACACTGCAAACTACTTTAAAAACAAACTATACAAAATAAAATGGAAAAGAAAATGGACTTACTCAGTGTGGGCTGGAGTTGAAGTCCTCCCAAAGTGATCGAAATGAATACCAAACCAATCGTAGACTTGCCTATGAATGGTATGATACTTGTCTGTAATTTGCTGCGGAGTCAGACCCTCAGCCAAGGCTTTCGTCTCGGTAGCTGTTCCATATTCATCCGTACCACAAATTGACAGGACATTATAACCAGCGGTCCTACAATAAAGCGCAAATATATTGGCGCTCAGAAGAGAACCAATTAGATTTCCCAAATGAGGAACATTGTTGACGTATGGTAAAGCCGAAGTGATGAGGATATTTCGTACTCCCTCGTCTTTCTTTGCGGGTATTCTAAGACAAATATGGATGAAAAATAGTAGTGCTTACATCTTTCCATCAATCGTTGGATGAAGAGTTTTCACAAGAGGGTAGGGAGAGAAAAATGTCCATTGTGCTTTGAGCATCTGATCAGAAGAAACTTCAATTTGCAAGCGCTGCAATTCATGATCGATTTCGGATATTTGGGGAGTTATATCAGATTTAGTATTCGCGCTTTGAGGTTGCTTTCGGGGCAACTTCGTTCCGACAGCAATCACGGGCTACATTTACGATTTAATTTGGTTTAGCATAAATATACCTCCTTTGCAAAAGCCTTTCCCGAAAGATCCTTAAGAGCTCGGATACAATGCTCGTCAGCACTTAGTGTTTGGACAATTTTATGAAGATGTTCCACATTTTTCGAAGCTACATAAGAATAGGATCAGATTTTACTTATATAAACTAACCACCACTAAGAGAAAGTTGGGAAAGATCTGCCCAAACAATTATATGTATAGCAGATTTATCCGATTCACTTAATGAATTTTCAAGAGCTTGGAGCTTATTTTGAAGCTCAATCAGAATATCAGAAACATCCTCAACGGTGCTAGCTTGCTTTAAGGAGGGCTAAACTGAGTTAGATTAACAATGATTAAGTACTTTCAGAACATTGGACTCCCAACGAAAGAAATCAACAATGCTTTGGGAGTTTAAATCAACTCCTTGAATGAAGCTAACAAAAGATCAATATTTACATAAAAAACGGACCTGACAATCGAATTTACTGAGCAAATTAATCCTGATTCAGTTTCGAGTATCGCGCCATCTGGAGAGTTATCAGCACCGTACTTCAAAATTTCAACTTTATTTGATTTATGAGCAACCGCTAGGGCAGCCAAACAATTACGATTTTTTGGATCAGTAAAGAGCCTCACCATCGCCTACAAGACTATGATAAACGTGCGAAAAGTGTCGATTTCCGCGCTCAAAACTAGCCAATCGTTCTCAAGGGTTCTATTGAGATATTACATAAGCTATAACATTTTATTTGCAAATATTACTCCCACCAAATATTCGTTATTATTGGATTATGCAGTATAATTCGCATTCTGATTTTGTTTAAAAGGTCTTGTGACATTTTTATACCTTTGTGCTTTAAATTTGGCAGTAAAAATATTCCAAATTGTTCCATCATGGTCATCAATAAACAATATCCAAAACTAATTTTTCTATTTTTTTCTTTGTGTTTCTTGATGAAATCGACAAAAATCATAAAATACTTTCACTCTGGCATTTAATCATAAATATAAGTTTATTTGATGATAAATAATATAAGAAGATATTTTGTGACGCTATTGATGTGCACTTAATTTTTATAGTACGTTTAGAAAATTTAAAATCTAAAATGATTTTTAATCACTCCAATTTATATATACCTATCTTCAGAAATATTGTTATTTATTAACATAGGTAGTCAGTTTTCTCTTTAACAAAGAAAGTCACTGAATATATTTTTACTATAAAATTTTAACCCTCGAAGAGGCATAACACTAGAAATCCTTATTTACATTCAAGCGATGTCAAAATATCTGCAAATGAATGGCACTGGATTCTTGAATTAGTAATAAAACAATAAAGTTACATTATAACATTGGCCGGTATTGCTATCAATATCAATAAATCAATTTTGCCTTTCAGGTTCAAATTAGTTCAATATCGAGTACGAACACGAATATATAGAGAAACAAAAACCTAATGACTGAGCATATGTTATGACAGTGTGTTTTCCGTGTCTAAATTGTTCTCCTATTATACCTAATTCCCAGTCTGCCTATCCACGTACTGACGTTTCGTCACTGTGCACTGATTTTTTATTGCCTTTCCAATTGTTGCCTAGATGTTTACATTTTGCGAAATCTGGATAACTCGTTTTAGAAAATTTTAGGAATTTCCGACTAAATAAATTAGGAAATACTCAATACTTTACTACTTTAAAGCAAATGAGTGTTGCTTTAATTAGCCATTCCCAAAAGTGGAACAATTGTAACAAAGGTTACCTAAAAATCTGTCACTGCATATCCCAATTACGAGTATTCGTATTCCCATTTGGCCAATTTTACTGGTATAACTTGTTTAAGCTTCCGAAACCACTGCTTACATTTAAAATCAATAATGAAACGGAATTATCTTATATGTGGCTCAATCCCGAACTTATAAAACTTAAAAAACGCCTCATTTTGGCACATTTCAATAAATATGTAAATGCCATGACCAACTAATGATTATTTGTTATCCTAACCTTTATTGGATAATTTTAATTTTTTTCTGCAAGTAATGCGAATTTTACATGTATAATCACCATTTAAACGTCGCTATTGGTTACTTTACATAATCTGCTCAACTTTGAACTTGTTAATTTGTTGCCATAGTCATGCATTTCTCATATATTTTATTAAACTCTCGCCTTTCATTTTACTGGATGCTATCCAGACAATCGGCCATAGATATCGTTGGTGATTCAAATAAGAACAGTTAGGCAAGATAATTACCATGTTTTTCAGAGATACCTTATTTCTGCTCGAGAAACGTAGTAAAGAAGAAAGTTCCTTTGGATGATAAGTTAATTCTGTTATAACGGGTGATCAAAATTATTTCAGATTCAGCATAGCTATGAACTCAGGCTAAAAGTATACTACGATTATTTTAAAAATAGTAATAGCTATAATAATAAGATATTGAATAGTCCCTAAGACGAATCAATTAATAGTCAAGACTGAACCGGAATTAGCTTTTTTTTTCAAAATACGGCTCTAAATCAACATAACTTCCAATTGACTATTTTGTTATACCTTAAGGAATGGGTAGCTCCAATACGTAAGTAATAAATTAATAAATAAATCAGAAAATAACCCAACGAAATGATTTCCGAATCTTTCAACTTATTACAAAACATTTCCTATATATATTTAGATAATTTTAGATAAATAATGAAACGAATTGCTTACTGCTCTCACTTCTCACAAGATCTACCTTGATAGTCTTCACGATAAGTCACCAATTTACTTGAATGAATTTTTACTTTGTTAAATTTTCAAATCTTGAAAAAGGCAGGTGTTTGCTAGTAGCCTTCCTGACTGTGATATAGAAGGTAAATCTTATTAAAGCTTCCTTTTCATCATTTTGGCTCTTATTTTCTTAGAAATAATCGATTTCTTAATAGGTGGTATTTCTCGATTTGACTGTGTTACCTTTATTAACTTCAGAAAACATGATCGAACCATCATCAACCAGATCTGGTAATAAACAGAAGATTAAACCTGGGTTAACTTAGACAGAATCCTCAATTTCACTAATTTAATGCTAATAATAAATTGTCTTTTCACATTATGAATCAGGAATTAAGTTTCGAAGTCCACATGTAGCATGTGCCCGTTTCTTGATCGGCCCCTTATTTTCTCCGGCATTGCTTAAAGTGCTTTTGGTCGTTCCTGCCGTTCAAATCCTATGCAAGCTTTTGTTTTCGCTTGTCCCGACAGGGGAAAGGTGAAAATGCTCCTTAAGATAATGGGAGCATAACTGAAATCAGGTCATTTCAAAACCAAAATAGTAAACGTGATACATTTGAAATAAAATCATTAACAAAGACCATGTCTCCAAGCAAACTTTATTTAAGAATCGTGAATCTATTGAAGTTAGGCTTTCTAACTTTCAAAAATATTTTGAAATTAAATCAGTCAGCATTCTTGGGGGCTTGGAATGCTCTGATAACGTCGTTTGAGTTGGATCCATTAATCAGTTAAAGTGAATAGAACAATAATGTGCACTTCTAATATTTGGTTCAAATGGCAGGCGTTTTGATAATTATCCTTAGCCCTTTAACTGACTTCGGTCCTCACAGAGATGAGGAGGAGGAGCATCAAGGTGACAAAATGTCGAGAGGGGGGAGGCCTTGGTTTTTTGGTATCATTTCTTCATCTAATATCATCTTAACTCTGTTTCACTGGTCTTCAAAACTTTGTGTCACTGTGCTGGTTTGCCGGGTATGTGAAGCAAAAATAATGTGCCACTTATACATACATATATAAAGTAAAATGGAAATAATACAAGGATTCCTATTCATACGTTTTCCTAAGAAATCGTAAAACTTGAAATACCAATTGATGGCAATTTATCAAAATGATGGCATAATAATAATTTCATTATACAAAGAGTTCGAAAAAATTATTTACTCAACCAGAATTTCAAATCGTGCGCTACCTTCATTTCTCGCTAAATCTACTTTGATATTTTTCGCAATAAGCCAGCATTTCACCCGAATGAACTTGTGCTTTGCAACGTTGTCAAATTTCACGAAGACCAGTGGGTCCTGGTAGCCACCTTGACTGCGATATGGAAAGTAGATCTTATTGAAGCTTCCGTTTCCCACCTTTCCAACTTGCACTTGAGTAGCGGTAAATCGATAGTCGATATCATAGTAGGTAATCTTTCCCAAATTGAATGTATCATCTTCAGTTTCACCAGCACATTTTACCAGCACTCCCGTACTTCTGTCAACTGGATCTGGTAGCCAACCAAAGATGCGATTCATCTTGAGAATAATACATATAAAATCTGATCCAAAGCGTGTTCGAGCACCACATGGACCTGCTGCATCTAAGTAGTACCTACATGGACGATTTTGATCCTGTTGAAACTCATTTTCCAAGGCACAGTCTCGTAGCATGCCCATCATGGAGCTGTAACGATATCGGTGTAGGAAAGCAGCCTGTTCATCCACTATTCTAAAGTAGTCCAGTGTCTCCCGAGGTCGAAAGACAATAACACTGCTGTACATGTCCGGATGGGGGAGATAAGTCAATCCGGGGTTCATTTGCAGAGCGCTCTGCATTCCTGTTAGAGCTGGGTAGTTGAGAGGAACCTGGAAATACATGTACCAATAGAGATAACCAAGAGACAGCCCTGCAGTTACGCTGTAGAATGCGAAGTAATAGAGACAACGGGCCAAATTACGGTTCATTGTCACGTCCTCTATTCGAGTATGCAAATTTGTCGAGCAGGCGTGGTATTTATAGTTTTTATTTCACCTGTTTTAATGAGATTCAAATTTGAGAAAAGTAAAATGTCGAACTTCCAATGGTTACTTCCACTTGATTATCTCATGGGAGTGAAAAGCTGGTAGTTGTTCATTGCATCGTCTCGACTACGGCGACGTGCTCGGATCTTGACGGCTCAACTTTTCACAACTCATATCTGGATTTTCCAGATTTAATGCTGCTGGCATACACTATCTCATATTTTTATTACCTGGTTCATGTTGGTTTGTGGACTGAGTGAAAGTAGCCTGGATTCATTTTCGCTCATTGTGTCAGTTCAAACGTTAATGATTTGAATAAAATCAGAAGTTATACTTTTTAAAGCCTATTTTCCAAGTGAAGAGTGCGCAAACTTCAATCAACCTTGGTCAAACAAAATTGTCTACTCTCTTTCCACAGCTCTCTGTGATAATCTTATTGACTTTACTCCGGGTTCAGTTCTTCATTCTAATTGCCAAGGCACGATGCTTTAACTATCAAAGTTACTCAATCTTAAATTTTTTTATGTAATAGATTTTAATGTTAAATTAGTAATTCGAACTGACTTAGTTTGTGAAATTTCTCCCATGGATTACAATTTCATCTACTGATCCCCAAGTAAGCTTGGCCTATTCTCGTCAAGGGGATAATGAGAATATTATCACAAGTGTGGATGTAATGTTTTATTCCTATAGGTACTAGCTATCGTGCCCTGAACATTTCTCCTCCATTGATGTTCTCCATCTGATTGCTCTGCTGACTTGTTTCTATTCGACCTAATTCACCCAACCTGTGATATTTGGGTTGAAGAAGTGGTGATCCAGAGTAAATATGACAACGTTTTCCCTGCATGGTTTTGGTAAATTTTTATAAGCTATTTCGTATCTCATTGAGTTAAAACTGGTTTGCTACCGTGTAAACAATTCATTCACCCTCTATCTCCTATTAGCCTCTCGGATAAATATTAATATCCGTACCAAAGCCTAGTTAGGATAAAACCTTACCAAGCGTTCACGAAACTGATTAATTGATCGGACTTTGGATTCGCAGTGCAGAGTACTGAGTAATACCGAAATGAGCACAGGGATTCCGAACAAGAAGAACGTAATTTTTTCAGCATTTTAAATTAGGCTGAGTCCTAAAAGCGGCAGTATATACATTTCAGAGATAGAAATACAGAAGTAAAAATCACAAATAAAATGAAACTTATCCCTTTGCTTCGTTCTCAACCCATCTCCTCTCGACCATAACCTTTCTGAATAATATGTCGCACACTTTCTTTACTTATAAGCGGAAATATCGTTGTGAAATAAACGGACACTCGTAATTGTTAGGGAAATAGATGAATATAAATATAAAACTTAATTTTAATAATTTACAATAATAAAAAGAGTACAACAACTACATTGTCTTGTAAACCATACGAAAGAATAAATAAAAATCGATTTTGATAGAAATAAATTTGAGAGACCGTCGAAACTTGAAATTTGTTGATTTTCTACCCAACACCCGGTCATTAATTTTCCTTAAAAATTGCATGGTGGTTTGAAAAGTGAATTTGGTATGACCAGTTGGAAGGAATGCGAATTTGTTTTACCAACTTATTCATTCCAAGTTCATGATATCCATTTAATCTAATTATGTCTTTCAGATGAATAATAATTTTCTGTTCATATCGAATTTCTCTAATCTTTCTTGGTTATGAAGAATCGCGTGCAGTTTTGAAAGTGCTTCTTAAATTTACACTTTCGAAATTTGAAATATGGTGAGGAAGACAAATTTTATTGTTTTGCGGAAACGGAGGTTCGGGGGGGGGGGGACGAGAAATTCATCAGAGTCAAAGTGAAGATTCTTTGATGAGAAGCACACTTTTCACAGCTTTCCAATTGACTACGATTAAGTTGTACGGTCACTCTACTGCAACACTGGTTGTTCGCCAGCAAGCATTAATATTGGAAACTCGGATTCGATGTGTTAGCACATTGACCACTTTTGCTTCAGTACCACCATGTGTTTTCATGACATTTTGATATACCAAAATGAATTCTTTACTACTTAATGGTGATCAGTAAAGATTTGCTTATAATATTTAATTTTCATTTGTGAGTCTTTTTCTTGTTCTCGATTTTTGTAAGGCAATAATTGTCCAGACCGGGTAGAAATTTAGTACACAAAAGCCGTTTTCGTCTTTTCAAAATGCTTTATTTAAGTACAAAATGGGTTTAGCCCATTTGACTACTAATAAAGCATTGTAGAACCTCATTTTGAAGATCAATCACGCAGGAAAAACAAGCGGGAAATCGGAAGTGCGTACACATTGATTCATAACTCTACTCACCAAAATTTTTAAATTAGTAGTATCGTATTGAACCGGACCAGTAAATGCTTAGGATCTCACAACTAATTCGGTTAGCTGTGTCAATGACGTTACCTCTCCGCTTAAAAAATAGAATCCGAATAAACGCCAAACTTTCTTTTCCTCTATTTGCTTTGCATTTCATTTCATTTCATTCCTTACCTTTTTCCTCCTAAACCCCTATTCTACTCAAGCCACTTAAATTAAGCTATTTTTACCTGTTGTTTATCAATTAACCAAGAATGCAAAATTTGTTAGCTTTCCTGCTGTACTCAATAGTCCCTCGTCCTCACAACCAGGTTTCTACTCTCCCAATTGAGATGCCTCTTCTCTCATCTTCCTTCTCCCAATCCCTCTTCATAAAACTCTCCACCTCTACTCTCCCTATCATTTTCAGTAGTTTAATACACACTTAATTATTGGTTTTCCCTTTATTGTGTCCTTTTAACCCTTAAAAGGGATAATTCAATTTGTACTATGATTTTTTGGCCTAACTTTTACAATGGCGTGCAAACTCTAGGCTACGCAATCATAATACAATGAAATTGCTCATTCGAACATTCTGGAGAGTGGGTTGTATGTGCAGAGGACTTCCGAGCAAATCAGCTTTAAAATACTCAATCAAGTTATCCAAAGTGCATTTAATCACTAATTATGTTTGCTGTGAGCATGAGTTCAATAAACGCATTACTCGGTATACGTTTGCTTTTTCTATCCCAAGGGGGAGAACGCTTTCCTACTTCCGGGAGCCTTTCCATGCAAAGAATGTTTTGCCAAGACTTATTCGTATACCAACCTCCTACAAACCCACCTCCAGAACACATTCCGCTCCTTTTAAGTCAATCTTCTTTACTGACGAAGTCCATCAGGAGAATTTGTAGAAATTCTATTTTTACTCCAGTCAAAGTTTATGCATCCGCTAGTGTCACATGCACCGGTAACCATTGAATACAGTAAAATAACCACAGTCAGCCAAATTGAGGATCGAAGAGGCCTAAACTATCATTAAGATTTTAAAAATAAATGCGAATGCGTGAAAACAGTCATAAATCCATTGATCAAAATGTAAATTCTTTGTTAAAACTAGTGCGGTCTCCCGCCCCTACGCGTAAATATTCAGATTGTTTGTGATTTGAGTAACCTCAATGGGAGTATGAGTTTATCATATTTTAATTACATATTTTGGGGTATGCGATAGATCTACCTCCATTTGGAGCACCCTGGGCAGCGTATATTCATACGCCAAAAAAGTCTATGAATCGACAGTTGACTTCTGACTTCAAACTACCATCACTCCACCGTAAGTCATATTCCACCAATTTCACACTACTCGCCTTGAAATCCGCTAAATGGCTAATGGTAACAATCAAAACGTCGGCCATTTGATATAAATAAATATAAATTACATATTTGTAATTTAAAGTTTAATTATATTGTTACAACTTGAAGTTTTCTTTCCGGTAGAAAATTGTCAAGAATATTCACGTCAACCAACTTCTCTTGAATAATGGCAAGTAATTAAATTATTATTATTATTATTATTACCATTTCCTTGAATTCATCTTGGATGGATTTTGTTTATTTAACTCAGGTGCAAATTTCGGGTAATTCCAGCTTAAAGTTGAGGAATGCCACTTCCCCACCTCCATCCATAACCCTTTTACGCCAGAATTATTTACTTAAAAAATTGACCCAACCGCACTCACGCACGTTATCCACGTGACGAGTTATGGTGGTATCAGGCGAAGGCCACAGACTTATTAAACATGTTTCAAACGGCAATGGAGCCTTTTGTTACGAAACTAGAACCAATAAAGCTTACCCTTGAAAGAGGCGTTAAAGAGTTAAACATCGGAATTGGCAAGAGTTAGTAAACCATGATATACTAGAATAATAACATAATATGTAAAGTTAAGCGACAAAAGCGTTCTTTTTTGGTTTAATATGTCTATCAATGAACACTGAGTATCGTAGATAAGTACTTACTGAAATCCAACGAACGAATCACGCATATTTTGGAGCGTGATTAGGTGATTATTCCATACCCCTAACCGGAAACCAAATGAATTAAGACTCTGTAGTTTCTTAACGTAGACCTCAGCACATGTTTTGGTCTGTTGAGGGAATTACCAATAATGAAATATCAGCAAATGAGCATCGATGATTTACAAATCAGATGTAAATGGCCTAGCTGTATGAAATTAGGAGGACAAAGAGGTGCCATTGGCACTTCGTGTTTCTGAGGCGTCTTCGCTTAACAGAATCAGATTTGGCCCTTACTTCCTCCTTTAAATTCAGTCCATCGCAACGTTCCAATGTTCTTCAGTCATGTTATAAATCTAGTAAACCATTATAGTTAACTATCACTCATATCCTTAATATTAGGTATGAACCAAGTCCGTTGATCTTACAAAACGCTTTTGCTTAATAAACTACCATTTTTAATGCTGAATTTCCTCTAATATCTGAAAAGTACTCTTTTGATCCCCTTTCAAACGGGCCAGAAGCGGAAACCATACTTTATATTAATCCCGGAAAATTTGGGATATCCACTACCCATAATGGAGATGAATTGTGAAGTTAAAGCTC